GGCAGCAGGCGGTCTCTTTTTTCTCCTCTCAAGTATTTTTTTGGCTTTGTATTCAAACTGAGGATGGACCTTGCTTTATACTGGAATTTTGTATTGTCTATGCTTTTCATGCTATCAGTTACAACTAGGTAAAGATAAAAGTTCCCCTCGCACATGCATGCTAGTCATTTCTGGCTCTAGGGAGTGGTGCTCATCTCTGTTTCTAAGCCCAAGAGCCAGCACTGTCCGTAGACGTCTCAGTGGTCATGTGGCCGGCACGACTCAATGCCGAAGGCACACGGAGAGCTATTACCTTCCCACCAAAGGTGGTCCCTATTTTTCTACTTGCATTTTTAAGTGCTTTCGAACTGCTAGGTTGGCAGAAGCTGGGACAGGTAATGGGAGTTTACTCTGTTATACGGCGCTAGGGATTTGAACTGACGAACTGCTGATCTTTCTGATAGACAAGCTCAGTGTCTTAGCCACTGAGCCACCCTTTGAGCCACCACCTCCCCACACTTACAGCTACCACACTACTATTTTTCTTTTAAAGCTTCTAATATTTTGTAATTTTCACATGACTTTCAGAAATAGACAGAAGCCTGCCTGACTCACATATGACCTAGTTTGCACTTCAGATATGCATGTATTGTGTGCTACTGTTGTTCTGAGAATGGCTTAATTTAAAGACAGCCAGTGTGTCCCAAAGGAGAGATAAAATCATTGCATATAGAAATTATAAATAGTACATAAAGAAAATACATCCAGATGTCAGGGGTAGCTATTTCATAGTCTCAGAATGAAGGAAATGGCCACGGAAATTTTAAAAAAATGCAGATAGTTCTGCTACCCAAGTGTTAATGAAAATATATCCTTAGGTTTACAACAGATACCCCATTACTTTTATAGTCTTGAGAGTTAGATTTAATCAGGTGTTGTGCTGATGACTGATGATTGATACACAGATGGTTCTAAAGGTTTTACAAATCTGAAATATGTTCCGTTTTATACTATACTTAACACTTTTTTCTTCTGTCTGCCCTGTCTTTGTTTAGACTGTTTTTATACTTTCGTTGCTATCCTAGGACAAGCACAATTCCAGCCCCCAAAGGCCATATTTTTGAATTTGAAAGAGTTAACAGTTACATGTTAAAGTGAAGCGCAGTTAAAATGCATTATTTTGTTTCAACATTAAGCATCTAAATGAACATCACCATTCAATTGTGTTCTGGGCAACCACCCAAATTCGTCTTTGCTATAGTTGATTTTGAAACATTACAGTCAATCATATCTTCCCAATTTGTTCTTCTTTAAGGCTTTAGGCATCCTTCTGGTTTCCATTTCTTGTTTGGAAGCCTTGAGTCATCCATTTTGGCAAAATGTCCAACCCAAATCAGTTATTTTCTCCAAATTATATTGAAATTGGGATCTTGCTTAGTTTGTTGTTTTCCTCCCCTGTCTCTCACATAATTTTCCCTTTAAGGATCAAATACAAAGCTGATTGAAGGCATGCATATAATATCCTCTTTCTTCAGTTGCTGTCAAATCCAAGCCTGTTACCCACATAGCTCTGTAATTGAAACAATGACAGAAAGTACCTTTAGGGCCATATTCACTTGCCTTGCATGAATCAGGGGTTCACATAATTTAGATGAATTACAGAGCTCGGCAGTGTAGATGTACAGAATGATCAGTGTGCTAAATGTATATTACTGGAATTCGGAGGATCTTTTCAGTCAGGCAAATTGGTGATAACGGTTTGGGGTGGTTTTTTTTTTGCATTCCTTGTATTGTGCAACTCATATTTCCACTGAAACCTGAATACAGTCAGCCCGATTTTTATTCCAAAGGAACCAAAGTCCGAAAGCTTTTGTTGCTTGCTTCTTCATATTCTTTCTTTTTTTGCTTTTATGGTTATGGTGCATGAGTAATAAATCTGTAGGAGTTAGGCTCCCAGGAACAAAATAAAATCAAAATCTCCATCTGTTTATCAGTTAATGTTATATGGCATATCAGTAATCTGAAATGAAATATAATAAACTCTTTTCATTATCATTCTTTTAAATTTAAAAACACCATAGTGTGGCTTTTTCATTAGATATATAGTAAAATTTAAAAACAATGAGCGAAAGATTTATTATTTTGGACTAGCACATCTATCAATAAAAACAGATTGAAATGTATATAAATCTTACAAATAAATAGTATTTATAGATAGCTCAGGGACACAGTGACTCAGAAGATAAGACACTGAGCTCGTCAATCAGAAAGATCAGCAGTTTTGTAGTTTGAATCCCTAGTGCCGCATAACGGAGTGAGCTCCCGTTACTTGCCCCAGCTTCTGCCAATNAGTGTTGTAATTTTTTCTGTCTTTGGGGACACTGGAGATTAACTTACCTTTACTGCTCTTTTGGGTGTTTCAGCCAAGATTGGAGGGAGGATACCTTTGTAGAAACCAAACAATCTATTGAATAAAGAAAGACAAAAAAAGAACATTAAAAAATACCCAGGTATGTATGAACATTAGCCAAGTGGTAATTCTGTTTTCATTTCAGAATAAAACAACTAATCTCGAGGCTTTCTTAATTATTCAGAACAGCCCTTATTGTCAACAACTGAGTTCTGCTTTTGTACATATTGTGTAACTATTGCTGCGGTCCTAAAATTTCTTCTCCTGACTTCAACAGGATTAAACTGGAATAAATTCTTTGAGGACTGTAGTCCAAATTTTAGTTTACACTGAAAGAAGAAGCATAATTACAACAAAACACAAGCGCAACCCATAGAACCTATGCAGATTAGATTACTTTCTTTGTAAATAGGAAGCAACTTTTTTCTGCGAAAGAGAAAACAAGGTGGGGGGTAGGAGTGATTTATTTACTGCTGACTGTTGAAGTAGTCAGGCTTCAGGCTGGCAACATCATTTTTAATAAAGGAAAATGATTACAAAAAGTGAAAAGAAGGCTTGGAGAACACATTTTGGCTCTTTGGGAAGATGATTAGATGTGCAAGTTGACTACTTGGCAATTTAATTTTATTATTAGATTTGAGCATATTTTCCTTAAACCAATCCAGTTCAATTACTTATGTCAAGTCAACTGAATCTGAGATTTTGTGTTGAATCTGAATAGCATTATACTGTCCTCCTGTGGCCCTTTGTTACCATTTTATAACTAAATTTCCTTTAGAGAAAATAGGGAAAGCAGATTCTAAAAAGCAGGGCTGCTTTCTAAGACACAACAAATGCATCTCAGGGCTTCCTTTATTAAAAGGCAGTCTATAGCAAATTCTGTGGGGTGGATGGATCACACAGAGGAGAAAAATATGTACTGTACCACCTTTTTCCTCCTTTCCTCCTACAGCCCCTATCCAACCTCAGAAGGTTTTCAACAGGCAGGATTAACAATGAACAAAAATCATACCAAGGCTTCGGTAGCTTCAATGGTTGCCAATCCATTTCTGAGCTGTACTATTGATTTTTAAAGTTCTGGACAGCTGTGTTATCTCAGGGATGCCTCTTCCCATTAAATACTTGAATGAATCTTTTGGTCTCCCCTGCCAGGGAGCAATGAACAGGGGCTTCTAGTTGGCAGGGCTCTGCTTACGGAATACCCTTCCCAGGGAACATGACTGATGCCCAGTTTGAATGACTATTCAAAGTCAGAGAAAGAATTTTTTTCTCCTCTCAAGTATTTTTTTTGGCTCTGTATTCAAACTGAGGATGGACCTTGCTTTATACTGGAATCTTATATTGTCTACGATTTTCATGCTATCGGTTACAACTAGGTAAAGGTAAAAGTTCCCCTCGCACATGGATGCTAGTCGTTTCTGGCTCTAGGGAGCGGTGTTCATCTCTGTTTCTAAGCCAAAGAGCCAGCACTGTCCGTAGATGTCTCAGTGGTCATGTGGCCG